AGAGAGAGAGAGAGAGAGAGAGAGAGAGAGAGAGAGAGAGAGAGAGAGAGAGAGAGAGAGAGAGAGAGAGAGGTTAATTGGCTGATGTTTTGGGTTGCGCCCATAGCCACTTGCAACTGGATTTCAATACTCGTATAATATCAAATGTTCTGAAGTGTTCTCATCTCAGATCGGGCTAATCTGCCATCTCGCTGCTTGTGTAAACGTCCCTCGAGTCTTCAATGTGAGTCAAATTTACAAATTGAGAGCGCAATCGAGCTGGTTCATTGCATCAGCATGCCTGCATGAAACAGATACGGCCGCCCGGACTTACCACCATTGGATAGACATCTCGAAATAAATGGTTCCAGTTGACCACGCTACCCATACACTTTATGTCCTTGGGACTCTTGCAGCTTTGAACCTAATAACCTCAGCAGTTAAGGGTGATTATCTTTTCCAGCTTTGAACTGTGGAGTCGTGTGGACCTCTGGTGGTTAAAAATGAGATGGTTTTCTACTGTGGAGCTCTGGTCGTCAGAAATGAGATGCTTTTTTACTGTGACCAGACTTGATCCTTTGACTCAGACTTGCTGAGCCTTCTAGATAGTGACTCTGTACGGCAGCTGCGACGGTACCTGGACCAGCTTTTTATAGATTTTCAGGCAGTGCTGTGTTCCCGACAGTACCTAATGATGAGTAACTCAATATCTACGATACGATACGATACGGCACAAGTTATAAACACTGCACACATTGTCCTAAACCTAAGCGACCAAAGCCCCTGAGGAGTGTTGGTGGGCGACCAGCCGAAACCGGTCGGGCACGCCGTTCGGACATCGGTCCGGTTCTGCTGTGGTTCTTCATAGTTGTACTTGTGTCTCCTACTTTTCCGTCCCCTTTTCTCCCCTCACCTCCTCTTCTTCTCCTTCTTCTTTTTCTTCTTCTTCTTCTTCTTCTTCTTCTTCTTCCCTACCTCCTTTCTGGTCTGCCTTTTCGTTCAAGGTCGATGAATGTGTCTGCTGTGTCGCATCATGTGCTCTTCTTTATGAAACGGTTTTCACCTTTTAGCAGTAGCGGATGCAGTACCCAGGGTTCGATCCCTAGACCTCACCCTACCCATGTACAGTATCTATGTAGACCCCGAGAATTGAACCTGCGACCTGTGTATTCGCAGGTAGTTGACTGTTGTCTGTTGTAGATCTGTAGGTCTGTCGAGTAGGGGTCATAGTTGTGTAGAGGCCATAGATGTAGCAATTCTGAAAGGTCAAGGTCGTAGCTGCTACAGTCCTGAAAGGTCAAGGTCGTAGCTGCTACAGTCCGGAAAGGGCAAGTCCACAGACTTCCGGAAGGTCCGGAAGTGGCCTTTCAAGTTTTTCTCACGTTCCTCACAGCAGACCAGAGGCAAGTGGGCAAGTGGTGAGTCCAACTTCGCTTAGTCAGCGGTACCCAGTCTCAGTCTCACTTTGTCCAGTCAGCAAGTACCATGTGGGACTGTGTGCACCGTGGGCCCGGTGGAAAAGGGCAGACCAACGACTTACAGGAGTATAAATCAAGAGGCAGCGTCCAGCCATTCATTGATTCCTGCGTGAGCCATGCGGAAGCGCTGCCCCAGCGACTTGTGCAAGGAGGTCTGCAGATGAGCCCGGAGGACGCAGTGGGCTAGAGAGAGGGAGTTAGCRTAGCGATAGGGTAGATGCAGCGACAGCTGCCATAGCTGTAGTTAGTAGCGAGTGTGTGTGTGTGTGTTCGAGTGTTAGAGTGATGCGTGTGGAATATCCAGGGTGATCCAGTGTATGTGAACAGTGAGATGTTTGGGCGCTGAAGTCGCCATAGCCAATCGAGAGTGAACTCGTATCCGAAAGCCATATCTCTGAGTTTTGTTTGGGCGCATGTCGCCAGTATGCTGCGTTGCTGTTTACATGCATGAAAAGTGTGTTTGAAACGAGTCTGATTGCATTTATCGTTGCATCGTCTTTATTTCCCACCCGATGTAGGGTGTTATTGAAGGCCTCAATGAATGCTCATTTTAAGTAAGTGTCTTCTTCACAGAATCAACACTTATCTCTGTCGTTGTCATGCCATGGATGATCGCGATAGTGATATCGCATGGCATGGACTCGATGTGGTCACTGTGAAAGTAAAGCCTCACACATTAAGTTCAAATTGCAACTGTATCTCTGTCGTTGCATAAGTCATCCCGTGTAATGCTGCATCTCCCCTTCGGAGTCCTTCCAGATGATCCACAGTGTTACCTTCCTCATTAGTCCAAACCACAACCTTTCATCTTTTGAGAATTCAGAGGGGACTTATGTCAGTCCAGAGGAAGAGCCGGGCAGGGTGTTCAGGAAAGGAGGACAGAAAGAGGGAGATCAAGAGGTCATTTGCCCGTCACCAGTGTTCTGTCCTATAGTAGAGTAGACAGTGGAGGATGTCCTCTAGTTCCTGATCCACTCCTCACAAAACGTGCAAAGTGGACACAAATCCGTTGTCAGAGCACATGCCGACACATGCAAAGTTCGCCTACTGTCGCAGCCACCGATCACATACAGTCCCAATAGTCGCCTCAAGCAGGGCACGTCTTTCGCTCATACTGAGTGTAGCTCCACAGAGGTGAGGATGATTGCTACGGCGAGGCACTATCTCCGTTTGCGGTCGGGAAAATCCGCTGTCAAGGACAGAGCAACCTCTATTGTCCAGCTGCCCCACCTACTTGTTCGATTCAACCTGGAGCAGCAACGACTGCCAAAGGTCTCTTTCTCTGCACTGCATCTGAGATGCAGCACAAGTGTGCAACAACCTACCTCGGCCACCTACTTGTTGGATTCCGTTGCTCATACCATCATACGATAGCATAGTGCTAAGAATGTTAAATTGAACAAACTGAAGATTAACAATGAAAAAATAACAAATGAAGTAAAAAACAAACAAATAAAACTTATAAAAGTGATAAAAAGTCAGACTAAGTTCACATACTTGGATTCGACCTGGGGCAGCAACGACTACCAAAGGTCGAATTGAGCGTGGACGCGACATGGAACCTACTCAAGAAATCCACTGCTACCTAGGCTCGAAGAGTCGAAGCCTAGATGGCAGTACCAACCTCTCTCCAAACTGTGGGTCCGATACACTCAAGGAAGTCGTAGACGGCAGTGACAACTGCTAGCTTCAGAGAATGGCTGCCTGTGGCTGGCCGTCAGGGGTCCGCTACCGCCGAACACCTACCGTCTTCACCCGAATAGCACGCCCAGTCATTACAGCCGTATTTGGTGCAATTTTCAGTCTACATACAGCGACAATGACCGGGCGTTCTATTCGGGTGAAGACGGTAGGTGCAGTGAAATTGGCTTTGGGGGTATTTGTCGTTTAGATCTCAGATCCAGCTGCTCTTTTCTTTTAGAATCAAATTGAGCTGCAGCAAGGCTTTATCAGCACCACTAACACTGACGGGGGCGTGTTAAAAAAAAAAAAAAAAAAAAAAAAAAAAAAAAAAAAAAAAAAAAAAAAAAAAAAAAAAAAAAAAAAAAAAAAAAAAAAAAAAAAAAAAAAAAAAGCTGCAGCAAGGCTGCTTGTGCTGGTAAGATTAGTTCTGAAGGGGTGTATACACATGGAGTAATCAAAGATGCATATAGGCTTTACTCTCACAGAGAATACATGGTAGCATGTCAGAGTGTCGGACGATGTTGTCCTCCCATCGCCCTTCTGCGTATCCCTGCTTGTGTAGTTTTTGTTGCATCAAAATTGTTCGAAGCTTCCGATAAAATCTTCGCACGGTACGCTGTTGAACCATCTGTTTTTTTTTGTGTGAAACTGCCGTCGTGCTTGCTCATCAGGTGGAGAAGGAGTACTTGGCAGGAGGACTGGAGGCAATTATCGATCCAGTGCTCAATGGACGGTACCCTTACGAGACGATGTGCCGCGTACTGGAAACGGGTTTGTGGTGCACACGCCCGAAGTGGGATGATCGCCCGAAAATCAAGGAAGCGCTCAGCGCACTTGAGTATGCCAAGGCAGTTGCAGGGAAAGAAACACTCCCGGAGGACAGCCAAACTATGGTGGAAGTTTTTGGCCAACATCTCTTTCAGAATCTTGGTTTGAAGAAACCGCGCGGAATAAGGACCCCTCCGCCGGGGCAGGCTGGTGGACTACTGTTCACAGAGGATCAGCTTCTTGGTGCAACCAATGGTCCAGGAACAAGCTACTCTGCTGACTCGGTTGTGCTGCCTGCCACATACACAAAGGTGGAAGCAAGGTGACCTGCCCAATCTGTGTAAAATGGCGGCAACAGCCAAGCAGATTTTCGGTACGCGACCACGCAGACTTCAAATTTACTCTGAAATCTCTCCTCCTCTTCCTCCTCCTCTTCCTCCTCCTCCTCCTCCGCCTCCTCTGTTTGTCTCCACCCGCTGTCCTCCTGCTTGTCCTTGTCCTCTTTTCCTGTCACATGCTGCTGATTCTCCTTCCATGGTCACATTTGCACATTTGCCCAGGGGCGGTACGCATATACGAAAACGGATGGACAGTAACTTCGACGGACTGGTGGTTTAAGCCTCCATGGCTGAAATCTCCACTTCAACTCCAACACCACAATCGCCACTGCTGCCGGCATCTCCTCCGCTTCAACCCCAACAACACCACAATTGCCACCGCTGCCGGCATCTCCTCCTCCTCCTCCTCCTCCTCCGCTGCTGGCAGCTCCTCTTCTTCGTTGTCAATTCTCTTCCTTCTTTCCCACTTCCACCATAACTTCCAAGACCACCACTTCTTCTCAACTGCCTCCTACTACTACTCTCCCGCATCATCATCATCATCATCATCATCATCATCATCATCATCATCATCATCATCATCATCATCATCCTTATTGTCATCGTGCTCACTCATTCTCCTCCTCCTCCTCCTCCTCCCAGTTCTGTTCCTTGACTTTAACCACAAGTCCATCTGAAAAATGCATTTTGCCAAGCTTAAAAGTGACCAGTACCGCCCGTTGAAAAAATCAACGCATGTACCCATACCAGCCTCTGCATTATTGAAAAGTTTGGGCCTCCCACAGACATTTTGGGGTCCGAAGTTACTCTGGGCCGAACAGCCCCTAAAGTGGTACTCTACTACTCGTATACGAAAGCGGATGAACAGTGACTTCAGATGCTTTGGTGGTCTTAAGGCTCAATGGCTGCAATCTCTACTTCAACTCCAACAACACCACAACCTCCTCCTCCTCCTCCTCCTCCTCCACCTCCTCCGCCTCCTCCGCCTCCGCCGCCGCCATTCTCTTCCTTCTTTCCCACTTCCACCATTACTTCCAAGACCACCACCACCCTCCTCTGCCTCCTACTACTCCTCTCCATCATCATCATCATCAAAGCCTCCATGGCTGCAATCTCCACTTCAACTCCAACAACACCACAATTGCCACCACTTCTGCCATCCCCTCCTCCTCCTCCTCCTCTGCCTGCAGCTCCTCTTCATCTTCGTCCATTCTCTTCCTTCTTTCCCTCTTCCACCATTACTTCAGCCTCCATCCCCTGTGCCATCTTCCTCTTGCCCTCGTGATTATCATGCATTTCTTCCTCCTGCTTCAGCCACACATAAAGGTTGTTATGGCTTACATAGGAAATCCCTTGCTCTCTTTTTTATTCTTTTGGCGGCCAACCCAAAGCTGATAGGCATGTTGAAGAAATGTTCAGTGCTTGCCACATCCAGTTCAACACAAGGTTCCTGCTGTCTCGCAATTACGGCGCCATGCCCCTCAGGTTCAAGCCCCCAGTGGGGCTTGCACCTTAGGGGCATGGCTCAGCAATTCTGCATTCATGGTAAGTTAGCCACTGATGGGACCTGTAGAAAGAACGCTTACGCCTAGCGCCCAAAGTGCCCGTGGCTTACGCCTAGCGCCCAAAGTACCCATGCAACAGGGTTCGTTCAGCCGTCAGCCGTGCTTCGATCGGGTCTGAGTGGGTGCCTGCTCTGCCCTGGTGCCCTGCAACCACTGTCCGGTCAGGTCACCCCACCAAGCTGGTAAAAGGGTGATGATCCTGAGTGGTAGAAACTGAGGTAGGACGGGGGGGAGTAGGGGTGCACCAGGGATAATTGACGAGAGGAAGGGTGGGAGGGGGTCCCATAAGGAGTAAGAAAGAAAGAAAGAAAAAAAAAAAGGCAACTAAGCACGGACCCAACCGTATTTCCTGTGATGTTCGCTCTTTCTTAGCACGAGCAGAGCACCACGGGGGCCTGAACCCCTTAGCACGGGCCCAACCATATCTCCAGTAATGTTCGCTCTGTCTTCTTTTTTTTTTTTTTTTTTCCCTTTTTAATTCGAAAAGCTCAGGTTGTTGTAGAGGCCAGATTCCCACCTATAGCGGGCACTGTCATAGGAGCGCTCTGTCTCAGCACAAGAAGAGCACTATTGGGGCCTGCCTGAACCTTAGGCTGAAGCCCAATTGTCCCAGGCTTGTGGCAACCTACCACGAACCTGCCCATATTTGCTGCAGTGTCCATGGTTTCTTAAATTCTTAGCACAAGCATAGCAGCAGTGGGGCAAGAGCAAATCCTTGTTTTTTCGAAGCATCCTGTACAATAGTTCGCCGTGGCTTTCTTCCCTGTACCTTTCCGCTCGAATTCAGAACGTTACTTTCTGGGGAGAAGGTAACAAGATAGGCTTTTGCTGACCAAATGGAAACATTGATAGTGGCAAAAAAGGTGTGCGATATTGAAGCAAAGGGATAAGTCAGTCTTAGATAACGAACAGCCTTAGCTCAGTGGGTAGAGCACCGGTGTCGAATGCGCATTGTGGTATAAGGGCGCAGCACGGGTTTGAATCTTCGGACCTGCACCCTGTGCATTCGGCCGGCGAGTGTCGACCGACACAGGCGTGTGTGTGTACACAGGGCAACGCAAGAGGTCCGATGCTTGAAACCCTGCAACGCGCAGGGGTTACAAGATACAGCTCGGAACTGTGGGATGCGGCCATTGTGGCTGCCACGTCGGAGGCTGGCCTGGCCCCCTGGGCGTGCCACACAACATTGCTCCGTGTCAGTTGTCGGAGAGCATCGCTTGCGCCCCCTCTTGGGTTGTGTGGGTCATGGGGGGATGGGGCGGGGAGAGGGTGGATTCAGTTGGGAAGAGCGGGGCAGGGAGGCTAGGGTTCACTATTCCCGTGGAACGCCGACAACACCCGTCTCGGTAACCGGCGACAGGGTGCTTGATTGCCTCCCAGCAGGTCACCTTGGGGGGCCCCGGAACCCGAATAGCACACCCAGTTGCCGCGGATCGAGAAGCACCGGTCTCGCTCGATACCTGCCCGGGTGTCTGCATGTGGTCAAGGTTGAGCATTCCGTCCTTGAGTGTCCCCTGTATGTGGGTGGGTCCCACGTTGCCGACATGGAGGGCTGAACACGGTGCGCCCAGCCCCTGCCCGGACATCCGCACCTTGCACTGTCCCCGACACCCCTCACAACCCTTTTTAAAGAGGATAAGTCAGTCTTAGGAAAGCCCCTCTTACCCCTCTTAAAACAGTGGCTTGCTGAATGATGCTCTTTTTTTCGTTTTCATTTTCATTTTCGTTTCTTTAAGTCGTGTGTCATGAGAAACAGAAAATTAGACATCTGGAACTGATTGCTGTTGGCTTATGTTTCGCCTCTTTTTCTTGTGGTTGCAGCAGAGCAGTTGCGTCAGAGAGTGGACATCACCGGGAACACCAACTGTGGTGAAGTTCTTTTTGAGGAACCTCCAGAAATAGCAGCTGAAGGTGCAACTCCCCACTGGCATGCACGCTCTGGGGGGATAGATAAAATCACCAACTACCACGGAAGCTGTGGGGGGATAGATAAAGAGATGCACGCACGCACACACACACACAAGAACACACACACACACACACACACACACACACACACACACACACACACACACACACACACACACACACACACACAC